GCACAGCAGAGGAAATTGCCAGAGCCTGCGAGCAGAGGCATCCACGCATGGCACCCGCCTAGGGAAGGGGGCACGTCCTGTGCGCCCGTGGAGCCTGGCTGGCAGCCGGTCACCCGAGGGACAGCAGGGAAGGCACCTCCAGGCACAGGCTGCGCAGCCTGCGTGGTGACAGCAGCAGCCTCTTGTGGACCACGTGGCACCAAGCCCAGCTCAGTAGCACCCTCCCCATATACCCAAGATCTCCATCTCTACCTCCTGGTGTCTCCCACAGGGCAGGGTTGCACTTGTGTGCCCGGCGCAGCCCAGGGTAGTGCCAGCGCCTGGGTCACGGACGGCTGCCCCAGTGCCCGCGGGGTGCCTGCCCCGCACCTCGCTTGCCTGGAGAGCTGTGTCTGCAGCAGCATCACAGCCCAGCCCAGCCTGCAGCTCTGCAGCAGCCGCAGCAAGGGCACAAAGGCAGCTGCCAGCCGGGCACAAAATATGCGTAGGGCTCCAGTGCCAAGTGTTCCCTGCAGCAGCTGCATGGTCCCAACCCCGGCCCCCCCTCCCAGGAACGAGGGCGCCCAGCCTGGCCCCGGGTCACCAGCCCTTTATTGCCCGCTCAGGCCTGGCACCACAAGACCTCCAGGCCCTGCCCGGCCAGTGCGCAACAGTAGCCTGGCTGCTCCCCTGGCCTCGTGGCTTCCCAGCAGTCCAGCTCCGCTACGTCTGCCACGGGGCAAAACCTGGCACCCAGGAAGGCGAGGCCTGCCTTGCCCAGGTGCCACAGCACAAGGCGCTGGTCCACAGAGGCAGAAGCCAGCAGGTCAGGCTGCAGCAGCCGCAGCCCGGGCACCCAAGCCGGCGTGGGCGCTTGGCTGCCGCAGCTGCTCCTGCAACAGGATTGGCGCGGTGGCTGCACCCACAGCCACGACGCACACGTGGATGGAGCCATCATCACTGCCGCTGGCCACCAGGAAGCGCCCGCTGGGCATCTCCAGGACGTGGAGGCTGTTCACACCGCAGCTGTGTGCTGGGACGGTCAGCACCGGGGCACCCAGGTCTGCAGGGCAGAGGGGCATCAGTGCTGGGCTCGCACCACGGCACGGGGTAGTCAGAGCATCACTCACCCCAGGGCTGCGTCTCCTCGTCCGTTGGCTTCGGGGCTGCCGTGGCCTGAGCGACAGTGGCGGTGATATCCCAGAAGGCAATGTTGCCATCCGTGGCGGCACTGCACAGGAAGTGTTTCCTGGGGAAACAGGCAGGGTGGGGGCATAGTCGGGGGCACAGGACGCTCCACCCCGTACAGCTCCCACAGCCTGGGTGGCCCCTGCTGACTCCATGCCAGGGGTTTGTCAGGGGGCAATGCCTGGCTGCTGCTCGGGGTCCCTGCCCCTCACCCCCCCGGCAGGAGGGGCTGGCGCTCACCTGGCACCGCCGGCCGGCCGGTGCACAAAG